CTCAGATATGAACAGGAACGCAAATCGTTTTAGAATTTTTTATTAGAACATTATGTAGTATCTATATACAAAAAAAACATCGAAATCGGACAAGAACAATTGAAGAGGTTCCCTCGTTAATAATTCAAAACTTGTACCTAACTAGTTTTTTGCTTCACCTTAAACAATTGTAAGTCGTTCTTTTTTTTTATCTGAATAAATAATATGCATACAAAATAGAAATCACAATATTATGCATAACACAATTCGAATACTTTGTAATTTAGTTGTGGGTGTGAATGTAGACGATTATCTTAATTCATCTACAAATGTGTCTACATTTAACATCTTGAAAAAATTATGAATGACTTCTAGTCACGTTGTATACGATGTTAGTCTATGTTTTTTAGATATCAACTTCTCGGTTCTATCAAATTGCTTCTTCTATCAAACCGATGCTGATATTTGCAGCAGTCTATGAAAGTTGATATGAAAAAACCTCTTCGTTTATGTTGATTTATGATATTCTCATAGCTGTATTTTTGTCTTAGTGTATCTTCTCTATCATAATACCTTGATAAATGAGAGACTTAGGTAAAAGAACGATTCCGTACAAGTACTCTTTTATGAGTATCAAGAAATGTATAATTTTAGCATTAAATTAAAAATTAGTTTGTTAATATTTCAATATAGATTTGGCAAAAAGAATGACATCCTGATGAACGTTTTGTAACGCTTACTTCATACTGAGAGACAAGAATCGAGTGTTAACAATACTGTTTTTGTTCCTTGATGTTTATTTTACTAAAACAATAGTGTATAAAAACAAACATAGATTTAAACATAGATGCCATGCGTGCAATAAAAACAAGAAGGCTAGATAAAAGCAAAGACAATATATTATTGTGATATGTTCCGTGAGCAGATTTTTGCTTTAAAATTAGTTTATACGTGGACGGTACATTGTACTAGATTTTAATGTCGTTGTCGAGTAGCTACTTCGTCAGAAAAATAAAAGTTTTCATCTTCTTGAATTCAATGATTTATCCACTTGAGTGGACATCTTTTTTTAATAGTTTTGTGATCAAAGCCAATGGAAGTTATACAACATTTTAAATCAAATCCTTTTATTTTTTTAATTTTTTTAAAAGGTTCATCAACATTTTTCATTGTTATCATTGTGCAGCTGTTACTGTAGTGGATAGTATTAAAATAGTGATATTAATTTTGAACATCCTTATCATTCTTATCACTTGTAATATTTTGGAAGAGGGTATCGCATACAATTGAATATAACATTGGCACATTGATTTTCTGTGTTAGGAAATAATTATTCAATCAGAAAGTCAGCTGTTTGTTCTTGTTAAAGTATTTATTTGAATAATAGAATACGTAGTGAAGTTAACGAAGAGATTTTCGTTTTAAATGTTCGTTCTTATATCACTGTTTGTAATTATATCAATCATTGGAGAACAAAAACAAGAGTGAAGCCAAAAACTCGATCATTTATTCACATGATCGATGGAGTTATCTATTCTTTATTTTTCTAGCATCCACGATGTTAATTTCTTGTAATCGAGATTAACATTGATTTCATCTTATATAAGTCTTTTAGTCATCTTTGAATAGAATGTCGTCAGAAACTTATACATTTTATTAGCGACGACTATTGATGTGAATTTGTTGATCTCATACAGATTTCATAAGAAAAAAAACATGAATACTCAAATTACTCTCAGTAAAACAATATCATCGTTTTGTGTTACGAAGAGATCAAAAATGAGCAAATATATAAAAACATTATAACACAATAAAGTTTTAAACATTAGCTTCGTTTAAATTTCTGCAGCCTTAGTAAGTATAATATAGTTCAGTTTGTATTGCATGTTTTCTTATGATCCGTACGAGAAAAATAAACTTCAAGACAATAAATCTACGCAATGAGAAAATGGGAGTGGAAGCAAAGAATGGAGAACAGTGCAAATAATGAATATCATCGTTCATTTGTTCACCATTACCTCATCTCGAAACTTACGAAGGAATCAGCCCAGTTAATTTCGAGCTTTCGGTTTCCTCTTTTGCCTTCATGTAGGGCTTTGTAAGACTAAGAAAATTCTGGAAGCGTTTTTGCTTATGGCTCTTCATCGTCGACATATTATCTAAATAATATCGTAAAGAGGACATTTTTTCTCATTTTCAAAATTTGTCTTTTTGGCGCAATCAAAATAGGTATAGGTTACTATTTATATAGTCAGCTCGAATGACAGCTTATTTTCTGCAGTAACTTTAAATTCGTCGTTTTTCTAATAATCGGTATATTAAATTATAATTGTATAAGATTTTGTGACTTATGATATCACTGGAAAAGAATGACAAATACGAAAGAGAAGAATGAATGATGGTCGATCTTTTTTCACCATATGTGGGCCATGTCTATTTCGAAGAAGAACATTTAAAGTATACAATATATTTTATGCGTCAAGTATTCTCCTCGGATGTGGACATGACATAGATGTGCTCGAAAAGTATCAGCTTTCATTCGTTTCTCTTTTTTTTTTATTTGTCATTCTTTCTCGCTGATATCAAAAGTCACGAAATCTTATACAATTCTAATTTGATATACTAATTGTTAGCAAATAACGTACAAGATATAAATTTCAAGAATGAAAAGAAAATGTCTCTTTTTTAAAGATATTATTTAGATAATACCTCGGTAATGAAGAGCCATCAGCAAGAATGTGAATAGGATTTGATTAGTCTTCCTAAAACTTATGTTGAGTCAAACGATGAAGCTGAAAGTTCGCAATCAGTTGTGGTGGACTCCTCTTGATTTATTCCGTTTAAAAGAGAGTTGTCGCTTGTTAGAAAAAAAAACTAGACTCTTGAAATTATTTGAATCGTTTTCGATGAAAACTTGCACTAATACAGTTGAAAAATCGGTTATTCTTAATCACTTTATGAATCTCTATCAAATGATATATAAATAAACTAAAAAAATAGATAGTGTGCTAAGTCTGAACTGAATGCGCTTTACAAAACTAAGTCGTGACACTAATGTTTATTTTGTGTCACCTGAGTAAAAGCAAAGATATATTTACTAAACAATGCATCTATTTACTTTTTTCGCTATAATCGACGACTTATCACCATATTTTTGTAATCACTTCAGTTCTTCTCGAACCTTCATGTCTTCACGCCAAAGATTCCTATTTAGGCAAAAGTAACATATAAACAAGTATGCTCCGATTGTGTAAGCCACATTCGATTATTAAACTATGCCCAACAACAATACATGTGTTATCGATACCACCGGCAATGTATGTTAGTATATAATCACAATCTGACAAATCAATAGATGATTCGTTTTGGTAAATATATGGTACTTTCCATGAACATCTACCGGATAAATAGTACAGTAGTCCATCGTACTCGAAGTAGAGACTTTTTCCACTGTAACCAAACTGAATAGAGCACCAATAAAACTTGTAAATAAGTGGCTTGCTTGAAGTCATCAAATTAGAATGATTTTCTGATGTTTCTCAACTACTTAGTAAAAGATGTCTCTTTTTTGTGGAATTCTAAGTTCATCATTATATTGTTAACAACTTTCCTTCTCTTCATTGATTACTGTGTTTTTTTATACTCTATTTTGATAAAACTTTTCTGATCCACAGGAATCATAGATCGTAGAAGTAACCTATTGATTTACACAGTGAGGGAATGGGAGAGAACTCTTATACTTAATATTTACTGATGGATTGCGTGTTCGCATAGATCCTAGTAGAAATAGGCCTAAGATCAATTGCACTATGTTTTATAAGACAGATCACTACTTGTTTTATCGATGATGAGTCTATGAAATCTGTAGATTACCGTGTTTTTCTATGAACTAATAGAGTAAGGATACATTCAATCATTATTGTTCAAGCTAGTCTCGCATTAGAGTCCGACCATATATTCGTTGACATTAATTTCCTACTCAACATTTATTTTGATTAGATTCGTTTGAAAAAGTCGATTCCTAAGAAAGTATTTATTCAAACACAAGAGAAAGCGACATACGAGTGACATCTTTCGTTATTTATCGAAGCACCCCAATATGATCATTTCTCGTTCTTTATTTTTTTTCTGTTTTCTCTTATCTTCCACGTATCTACTAAAAATAAATCTAAAGCAAAGAAAAACAAGACATGCATATTTTTTAACGATACTTGTTGACCTACGTATTACTTACGACAAATATTTCGCCATGGTATCAATTGTAATCGCAGCTCTCTTTGTAATCGTTATTACTCTGATATATATCTATTTAAAACGTGTTTACTCTCCATCACCAGATGATCTACCAGGAGTGAAACCACATATTTTTTTTGGTAATCTCCTCAATTCTGGTATATTGACGGGAGAATTATCATTTCATCAAGTCTTTCTCGATTATCAACGTCGTTTCGGTGACAAATTCCAATTTTGGTTTGGTTCACATCGATGTTTCGTTTTCTGTGGAGTAGAACATGCACAAATCATATTTTCCGGTCGTCATACTTTCGAACAATCGCCATTATTTTTTCCAAACTTTGACCTTTTTTGTCCAAATGCCATTGTAATGTTGACTGGTGCTAAATGGAAACGACATATACGAGTTTTATTACCGATGTTGAAACGAGCAAAGATTATTGGTCATTTAGAGACGATTGTTCAATGTGCTGATCGTTTCATTGATCAAAATCTTCATCCTGATCAAGTTCATCGAGATTTAGTCTCATGCTGTCAATCATTTACCATGAATGTTATCGGATTCATTGGATTCGATCACGATTTCGATGCCCATATTAATTCACCAATAAAAAAAAGCTTTTCGTGATTTTATATTACATAGCGTGTTTATATTCCTCTCACCGTGGCTACCTCGATGCTTAGGGAAAATCTATTTGAAATATAATTGGAAATATCAACATGCCTATCGATTGATTCATGAATTGTCAGAAAAGCTAGTTGAAGAAGAACAAAACAAAGAAAGTGAAATGGAAAATGAACGACCGAAGAATCTCATTGCGTCATTGGTTTCATCATTGAATGAACAAGCTAATGACGATCAAGTTTCATCTGGTCTAACACGTGCAGAGATCTTTGATGAAGTTTTGATGATGATCCTAGCTGGATATGAAACGACATCAACTGCTCTAGCATGGTTCATATTTTTTGCAAGTAAAAATCCTCAAGTGCAACAAAAAATGAAAGAAGAATTGCACAAACATCATCTTCTGATGACAGATGATCTCAAATATGTACCACAGCTAACGTCAGAGAATTTAACTTCACTAACCTATTGTGAATGTGTGACAAAAGAGGTTGGTTTCGTTTTAAAATATTAGATTATTTTTTAAGATTCTTCTCTGTATCTAGGTCTTACGTTTGGCTCCTGTCGCTGGACTTACAACCCGTATAGCTACTTGTGACACCATCGTTGACGATGTACAGATTTATCGTGGTCAGACTGTTTTTATTGCTTTGAATAACATCAATACTGACGCTCGCTATTGGCATCATGCTGATCCTCGACAATTTGTACCAGAAAGATTTTTAGGTGAAGATGAAAATCATCATCCATTAGCGATGATTCCATTCGGTGGTGGACATCGAGCATGTATTGGACAAGAATTAGCTTGGCTCGAGTTGAAAACGATCATCGTTCGAATGATGCAACGTGGTATCACATTCGAAGACATGCCAGAAAATACTGGGGGTTACGAAGACCATCTCACCTGTCTTCCAAAAAAACTGGCAGTGCGTGTACGCTTCGATTGACCTTAATATAATTTGATAATAAGACTAAAACTGTAGACACAAATCTGCGCAATTTTCTTGGAATGCTC